ATCTAACACAGGGTTGGCACATAGAAAATGCTCAACAAATATTATGTTCTTCTCTTAACCCCATCTTCAGTCACATCCTTGCAGCTTCCCCCAAAGACTTCTGAATACATAAATAAAGCTAGAACCCCATCTGGCTGAAAAGAGTCAACCATCTGGAGATTTGGAAATATGGGGGAACTTCTAATGACTAATTTTTTCAGTTTTTCAGCCAGATGTTTGGTGTCATCTGGGCCCATCTGTAGCAGAAATAGCAGTTTGTTGAACTTCTTTTCCTTGATTTTTAGTTCCTCATCCTGAAATTCTAAAAGGGCTTTCTTTTCTTAGTAGATAATTTTTTAATAATCCAAAAAAGTAATTATTGACTAACAGAGAGCAATTCAAGAATCAAGTGTGAAAATATCTAAAATTTGGATCAAAATGCCTTTTAGATCATTTCTAGGGCTCAAAACTAGTGACCTATGGGCCACGTTTAATTACAAGGTGAGTGTAGTTTGGCTGATAGTATTTTAAAAAAGTTGAATTAGTTGCCAATATGTTTTTTAAAATCGAGATTTTGCATGAAAATGTGGATCTGGCCTGTATTTTATGTACTTGGAATATTGGGCCATATGTGGTGCACATTTCCTTGGGGTCAAAATAAACTCCAGTCAAGTAAGAGTTGCTCTTTAGATGGGGCTTGTGCTGTTGAATTTACCACAGTCCCCACTATGCCCTATTGTCCCCATGCTGAAATCAAGTATCAGTTACCATTCATTTCCTTATATGTATTGCTGTTTTTCCCCCCATAGAATTGAGTTAAGGTGACTTTGAAATTCTTGTTTCACACTTTACATTCCCTGCCTATTCCCTGTAGACAGTTGCGTTTGTTACTCCCTAAGTCATCCAGAGCTCTCATTTTAGAACTGGATAAACTGAAGTCCAAAGGAGATAAGTTACATGCACAATTCACATAACTGTTAGTGACAGGGTTCCTTGCTGCTAGGCCAGTGGAGTTTTTTTCTGAATACAGGGCTTTGATTGTATCCAGGACTTCAAGAGCTTTTCTCAATGAAAATGTTCAGTCACATACTGAACACATTCTCATTCAAATTCACACACTGCCATTGAAAACACACAGCAGGTTGGGGCTGCACTCTGTGGATGCCTTGCATGCCTTGCAGATAATGAGTAGGCATTCCTTTGGGTTTCTCAGTGTGGGTATCTCTACATAGGTCGATTGTTTTCTCATTCAGGGTATGTCCTTTACTGCTCCTGAGATTGTAGTGTCTGGTTGCTCCTGTGGCTGCAGACACTGCACAGGCATCTTGAGTGGGTTGAGATCTGGGCCTTCAGAATGGAAAATGTCATGTGTCTCAACATTCTCACGAGCTAACGTTTGTACCAGTTACAAACCATCCATGTTTAACATTCTCTAGCAAACTCTGGGAGAGGCAGTATGGCTAAGACCAAGGATTTCCTGGGTTCACATCCTAGCTCGGCTCCTTTTAAGTGTGTGGTCTTGGGCAAATGATAGAACTTCTCCAGGCCCCAGTTTCCTCACCTGTACAGAGAGGGTAATAACGAGCCCTGGGGAGAGGACAAGCTAATATTTAAACATTCTTCAACCAGTGCTACCACATGGTAAGTGCTACACGTGAGTGACATTCGTGGGTGATAGAAGTGAAAATTGGAAACATCCTTTCTCTCACTTGAGAATATTGGTCCATATGGGGTGCACATTTCCTCAGGGGCATCTCCTCCTTAACACACACAGACACCCCAGGCCCATTGCAAGTGCTCAATACATATTGGCTCTAATATCACAGTTGCTTGGGGGAGTTCTTAAAAAATTCAGATTCTAGACACCACCCCAGAATTAGGGAAACAAAGAATCTAAGTATGATTTTTTTTTTTTTTCCAAAGTTCCTCATGTGATTTTGATGATTAGCCAAGTTTAAGAACAAGTGATTCAGTGAGTTTGGTTTGGTTTTATGTCAGAATATCTTCCATAGTGTAGAATTCACTGCCTCCTAAAGCTCCCTATTCCATTTGCATAGTTATTTATATGGAGGTAAAACCTGTTTGCTTCTACCCTCTAGTTCCTCCTTCTACCCCCGAAGGCCACACAGAGCATTCCAACTCTCTCTTCTGTCTGACAGCCCTTCAGGTATTTGCAGGCAGCTGTCGTGTCCTCCCTGAGCATGCTCTTCTTTGGGGCAAAATAGCCACATCCTCTCATGGCTCTTAAAAAGTATGGGGGTTCCTGATGCATGCCACAACTCGGAGGTACCTTGACATCATGCTGAAGTCAGTCACAGAAGGACAAGTACTGTACGGTCTCACTTCTATGAAATCAGCAAATACATAGAAACCAAAGGTTATTAGTGGCTACCAGGGGTGGGAGCAAAAGGGAAAGGGGGAGTTTTTGCCTGGGGTCCTTGAGTTTAATAGCCGTGGAATAATTGGGGGCCCTTGGGTTTAACAGCTGGAATAATTGGAAAAAGAATAGTGATAATGGTTGCATGACAGAGAACGGAATCCATGCCACTGAATTATACATGTAGAAATTGTTTGGAAAACAAAGAAGTGAAATAAAAAGTATGAGAGTGTTGAGGCTCTGGGAGAGGCAGGAGATGCTGAATGGGAGATGTCTATAAACCTTCACTCCAGCAAAGGATGAAAATGTCTAGGATGGATGTGGCCTACTGCATGTGTCTTCCCAGGCAGAAATCAAAGGCTCCTGCAAATTCCTTGATGTATTCAGTACATGAAGAAGAATTTTGGCTTCCAATTTCAGCCAGGTTCATCTGGATGCTGATTATATAGCTAAAAATTCCTTGCAATTCATTAGGATTTGTGCAACTGACTGTATTTAATATTCCAGTAAAGGTAACCAAAAAATAGCTGAGCCAAATTTTATAGAGACAGCAACAGATTTTTTTTTTTCCCAAAATAATTCAACTGCCCAAGGACACATCTTGAATTTAGCCAATTCCTTCTTAATTCACTTTCTCACTGTTCCCACTATGGCCCAGAATGCCCAAGGGGAGTTCCAATTCCTTATACAAATTGTAAGTGTAAGGCATGATGTTGGATTCAACCATCAGTTGAGAAATTCTGAACAAGGGTTTAGGAATTTTAGGTCCCACTACTTCTCTGGTGTGTGTGTTTATTTAAGGGCATTATAGAGGAAGCCAACAATAGTGTTAATTTTGCATTCCCAGGTTTAGTTTCAAGAGGCAGAAGAATTGGAAATAACTGAAACATGGTATAAATCTATGCCATTTTCACTTGGGAGACACTTCAGGTTTTTTATGTCCTTCCTAGAACCATGTAGACATCAAAACATTCTCCAAGTCACAGCCTTAAAAGGATAGTTCAACTCCTTGTTGTCAATAGAGACAGAGAAATTCTCAAAATTTTCTAAGGTGATTAAATGACTTCATCATATCTGATCACAGATGATTACAAATACTATTTTCATCAATTTTTAGAATTATTATAGAATTTCTGTCACTGTGCTGGATACCGTATGAGTTTTGGGATAGTACTAATTCAAGCCCACCTAATCCCAACTTATAATTTCCCACATAATAAACTGAAAGCTTGAATGTCTCAGCCAAGGTCACACAGGTAGTTTATGACATTACTCAGATCTTCTGACGTCAAACACAGGGGCCCTGGATGCAGTTAAAGTAATCCTTTCACACCTGGGCTTCCCACCAGTTGCAAATTTGCAATGGGAATGAAATCAATGGTAGTAGTGCTACAGTCAGGAGGCAGTTGTTCAGGGTGTCAGGACACGGGCAGATGGCCAGGGAATGATGCAATATTACACTGGCAAGTGATGTAATAGCATGATTTCCTAAGCGATTTACATAAATGCAAGTTCCCAAGAAACCCTGACAAATGCCAGCCAGTGGGAATGCAGGTGTGAAGAACCAGTGACAAGCAGGAGAAAGGAGCAGGGAGGAAACCCAGAGCTCCTTGCCCATCACTGTGATTCCTCAGAAACCTGAGAAAACTCCCTATTGCCTCTCTCATCCGGTGACTTCCCTCAGACTGTCAGGCTCCCCAGAGCTTTGAATTTCTTCTTTATCTTTCTGATTACTCCCACAGACATCCAGGCATTGCCCAGTGATGCTGAGAGTGACTCCCAGGGTGGTGAAAGCAAGTGTAGTAGTGAGGCAGGCTACCTAAGGACTTTAAATTCTAAAACAGGTCTGTCTTCATTATAATTTAGAATGAATCCTCTAATTTTTAGAATAAAAATTAAGTATACTCTTCAATTCTGGGCATATCAGTCTTATGGAAATAGATCTCTTGGGTTTGGGGAGATGATGCAGGAAAGAAGTGGATACTGAATACCAAGACTTCAGTTTTGTTCTGATCCAAAACAGTGCAATATGTATTCATAAGGAAGATTTCTTACCATATGTGTGTGAGGAGGGGAGGGGATCTGATGTTACCCTGGAAGTGTTAGGCAATGGAAGTTCATGAAAATATCTAGTTAGACCAAACTCAGAAGAAACTGGTAAGATGACCAACATTGAGAAATAAGGCAATAGCTCAGAGGATGCCAGGCCAGGTCAGGGATCCTCTCCTTCTCTCTTTCTCCTCCTCCACCTTTCTCCCTCCCTTCCTTCCTATGCCCACTGAGATTCAACACAAGCAAAGCTAAAGACCCCATCATAAGCCAGAGAGCCAAGCAGTTCACAATATGCCTAGGGATTTTGGATCTGAAGATTTTGGATGTTAAGACTTTTCTCAACTGCATAAGCTAGCTAGAGTGCCAAGTAATCTCATTCTCATGAAGCTTATACCAAAAACAATCGACAGAACCCAACCCCTTCATCCCACGCAGCATCAGTCTTGCTAGGAACAGAGTCTGGACACCTGCACATTCTCAGCAATAGTCGGAACTCTTTCTCTTCCCCCATCACCGCCCCCATGTCCCCAAACACCCACCAGAATCGCAGAAAATAAATGATTTGGAGCTATTGAGAGGAATTTGTAAATACCTTCTAGGCAGCAGGTCCTCCAGAGCCCTGAATGGGTCATTACTTCTTCATTCTTCCTGCTGGTTTCATTATCACTTGTAGATTTAGTCCTGCACACACCTCTGGAATACAACCAGTAGTCCGTGCCCACTGCAATGGTCATTAAACTAAAAGCTGCAAAGGCTCCCACAGTAGTGATCAACATCTGGATACCTCTGTCACACATTCTCATAATTCTTCATGGTACTCTGGTCGGCTGGGAGTTGGAGGGGAAGGTTAGGGCCAGAGGGGAAAATCACTCTGCAGCTGGGTAACCTAGGGCAGGCTCTTCCAACAATTCGGGTTTCCTTTTGTCAGCATCCACGGGGACTTTTGCAGAGCTGGGATTTCCTGTCTGGAGCTCTCGCCAGTTCCCTGGATCGTCTATGGCCCTCGGAAGGGTGCAGACTCCAGGGGAATGGTCCACATCACTGCTGCCTTCTGAAGATCCCTGGGTTCCTTTCATTCCTCACGAGCTTGATAAGGATGAGAGTCCGTGCAGGGCATGGCTCCGGTGCCTGGAGCTGCCAGCTCGGTTTGAGATGAGCCTGGCTCCCCACAGCCCCGGGAGACTCAAGGCAAAGAAATCCAGAGAGGTCTGTGTGTGTGCGTGCGTGCGTGTGTGTGCGAGCGCGTGTGCTGGGGGTGAGGGCGGATGGCAAAAAATAGCACTGCTAGGAGGCGAGCCGCTGAGAAGAGTGTTCACCCCAGCCTCCCAGGAAAGCTCTCCGCCTGCTCCCGACACCCCCGCTCAAACTGGTGAAAAGACGGAGTCCTGGGGCGGGGGCCGGGTGCTTTCATCCGAGGGCAAAGGTCTGCGGTGCTGAAAGGACAGCTCCCCGCCTGTTGCCCCGCCTCCGCCTCCCCAACGCCCAGGCTGTAAGGTCCGTGGTGCTGAAGGGACAGCTCCGCTGCCGCTGTTGCACCTCCGCCCTTCTAGCGCCGGGGCTGGAGACCTGGGATGTTGAAGGGACTGCCCACCCCCTTTCCCCACGTCGCTTCCCAGGCTAGCCAGCCGGCTTGGCTGTGCCCAGTCAAGCCCACGCTCCGCGCAAAGTTTCGGGAGCCCAGGGCAGTCCGCGCCCCAGCTCCTCGGCGGTGCAGCACGCCTCTGCCCCTCCGCTCCGGGAAGGGTTAAGGAAAGGGGAAGGGGAAAGAGGCCCGCAGCGCACTCTGGCGCGCTCTCAGCTCCCACCCAATGAGCCGGGCAAGTTTGCCTTTTGCTGCGGGCGCCTCTGGAGCCCTCTGAGGAGGGAGAAACCCCGAAAGGCCAGTCTTCTTAAAGGGACCGGCGGATCCGGGCGACAGTTCCGTGGTTCACTTGGGCGGGCAAAAAGTGTTGTCACAGGCGCATCTGTGTATAGTCTGTCTCCATTTGATTCCCCAGAAAACAAACCAATATGTCTACCCTCCTTTCTCCGGAGCTGTGGTTTACACCGGAGACAACGTGCTCAGATTAGACCCGGAACTGTTCACACACATGATGATCGTGTATTCCTAAAAGACCCAAGAGCTCCATGTCTACAGACTTTGCTGCATACGTCGCAGGGACTCTGGGCAGAGCATGTGAGATCGTGGCCTGTGAATACACCTCATACATATTTCAACACTGTTGCATTTGAGGGTGTGATGGATGAAAGGTGGGGAGTCGCTGAGAATATCAGATCCTTTCCCAAGGTCCCTAGTAGGCTTCTTTGTTAACAGTTTTGTCTAAGTCAGACCGTGAGGCAGGGGGACTTAGGTCTGCTCCCTTTGTCAGTCCAAAGTGCAAATGACATTGCACACCTGAAAGCTCATGAGACTGTCCCTTGGAAAGGGCCACGTGGCAAAAGATCAGCACTGACTAGCATTTTAGTACTATCTGTTCTGCACATGGAGTCCTGGGTGGGACACATGCCTATTGTGCTCGCCTATTGACTCAAAAGTGAGAGGTTTGAATCCACTCAGAGGTGCCTCTAAAGAAAGTTTTGGTGATCTACTTCTGAAAAATTAACCTTTGAAAACCCGATGGACCATAGTTCTACTCTGACAAATGTGATTGTCATGAATTGGGGTGGACCCGGCAGAGACTGGGCTTCTGGCTTACACATAGGGACACACCGAACTGACTAAGGACAGCCCACAGAATTTCCTTGCTTATTATTTTCCCCTAGAGCATGATGTGACTGATGACCAGTGTTGGGTATTGGGAGCTGAAGCTGTTTGAGTTGTTTCTACAGTCCTTGATGTGTCCACAACTACAATGTTTGAATGTTAGTTAACTGAGCAAAATATGTAATGGGAGATAATCATGGACACACATACTCCTGTGGTGCCATCTCTAAACACTTCTATTCAGGTGACTGAGTAGCAGCAACATATCAAAGAGTTGTTTTCAAGTGCAACTTACAACTTCCAGGTAACCTTGCTACTTTTATTCTGCCATGAAATTCACTGAAAGACTTGGTTCTTGGTGCTGGGTGTGCCTTGTAAGTGCATGCACAGGTTGGAATGAGTAGGTTCCAGTGTGAGTTTGTCTGATTGTGTACCTGTGCTGTGCTCAATTTAGTAATCAGTTCTGAATGTGCTGTGAATGTGTTGTGTAAATATAGATCCATACCTTCACAAAGTGTTGTGGGCCATATGAAGGTTTTTGTTGCAAAGGCGTAGCTGTGGGCACGTGTGTGTGCACACCTGTGTGTAGGCATAGTGTAGGTTGGAATATGTCGATGTGTCAATCCACAAGTATTTAGTTGCATATGCATGTTTCATGGTTCACAAATGCTGACTTGTGGGCAGGAAGTAGAATACTGAAATTTTACCTAATATCTAAAGTAGAAGGAAGGGCCACAGCTTAGCCCTACTCAGAAAAATGACAGGAGATAATGGGCAAAGGTGTACAAGACTTTGTACAAGTTACTTAGTAGGGTTTTTTCCCTAAAAGGAAAAATTGCTTCTCAATAAAATGTTCTGTCCTATTATTATTATTTCAGGAAAAAGACCTGGCAGTGAAGTTGGTCTGCCTGAGCATCTTTTTTTTTTTTTTTAAATTAGTGAAACTTTCCCTTCCCACTCTCAGAAATGTAGTAATATGAAATAATTAACAGTGACCAAAACAGCCTTCAGAGGAGCTGGATGGTTTCTCCTTAATCCAATAGGAGTAAAAAGGACTGCTCTTGAAGCTGGACATGTTGAGGAAAGCTCAGTGTGCTTTGGGCTCAGAGAGAGCATCTCTCCCTCCCCCAGTCACTCCATTCATCAGATCCTCAGTAAAACAGGAACAGCTCCATCCCTACCCCCTCAGTTCCACCACCTTAAAAACTCAGAAAGGCAGGGGGTGGTACCCAGGAGGTGAAGCCCAAGGAATGGGCCTCCAGCTGGGACAGTGGGAGAGAGGCAGGAGCTCATGTAGATGAATGTGACAATTCTGGGTCAGGATGTGGGCAATTAATTTGAAGAAGAGAAAGTAACACACGGGGTAAGAATAGAGCTTTATACTGAGCCTTACCCTGTGTAATTCCTCCCCAGAGCCAGTGCTGATCACAGAGTGTGGGAAGTCCCGAACCTACATCTGGAGCAAGTCAGAACACCTGACTGGAGTGGGAGTGAGGGGGCAGGGAGGCCATCAGTTAGTTCCTGATGATGCCTCCCTGCTTACTAGGGGGTGACCTCATCCTTTCATTCAATTGAATGTGTAGGTGTGTGTACATGGGTACGTAGAATTCGTTTCTAAGCCTAGATCTAATCGCTCATTTTCACCACTAGAGGGCTTTTCCACCGGCTCAGTTAGGGACCCAAGGTATTCAAAGCACTCTCACTGCTTTTTCTCATGGAGTCAGGCTTGTCCTGTGTGTCTGATGATGACCCTCTCTGATCCTATTCATCTGGCAGGATACTGGGAACCACTCAGACAGCTGACGTTTGATTCTCTTATAAAGGCTATTTTCCCTCTGTTGAGCTCTTAGCTAGTGCAGTGGCTGGCCCAGTGTGTCCACGTGCGCCTTCTTGTACTCGCCCTCCATTTGTCAGAGCTCCTCTCACCTCAGGAGGGTCAGGGCCTTGAATGTGGTTGTGTCATTTACTGACAGCTGATTCAGTTCAATAAATGCTTCTTGAGGACCTATGTGTAGGATGGTCTGCTCAGCACTCGGGAGGGTACAAAGATGTGGTTTCCATCCACAAGAATCCCATAGATCCGTAGAGTAAGGAGTATTTCATTAGTACACTTTGGCTGTAAGCAGCAGAAATGCAGTGGAGCTAGCTCAGGAAAAGGGGAATTTGCTACAAAGACATGAGGGTGTTTGAAGGAACCTAAGGGCAAAGATGAGATGCTCTGGTGGCACAGTTGTTAAGGCATTTGGCTACTAACCAGAAGGTTAGTGGTTTGAATCCACTGGACACTCTGTGGGATAAAGAGGAAGCAGTCTGCTTCTGTGAAGATTGGTAGCCTTAAAAATGCTCTGGGGGTTGCTATGAGTCAGAATGACTTGATGGCAGTTGGTTTGGTTTGGTTGGAAGGGCAAAGATATAATCAGGCCTCACCAAGGAGCTGGAAGCAGGAAATAAAAACCATTAGGAGCCTTGGGAGTCATTACATTTTTCATCTGTACTTCTTTTCATTTATTTTTAATTAATTAATTAATTAATTTTGGCCTCCTCTGCTCTTTGGTTTTCAAAGTAAAAGCTAGATTTTAAGTTTTTATGTCATCTTTATTCAAGAAACCAATCCAGATCAAAATGGGCAGTTTCAGTACCAATTCAAAATTTCTAGAAGAAATGATCTGATTGTCTGAGCTTGGGTTGTGTGCTGTTTACTGCTCAGTCAGCCGTGATCAAGAAGGCAGGGCCATGTAATCTAAACATGTCTACCAAGACCAGCCCCTAAGAGTTAGGGAATGGTGGAAAGGCCTCAGAGAAGGGAGGAATTCCTGTGACACTTCCAAATAGTCTACTTGGTTCACCTTTGGAGCCATTCTGGTGATGTTCATGGGCTCAGCAGGAAAAAGTGTTTGTGAATGAGAAGACAACATGGTAGACTTTGAGGCCCAAAAGAGATTGGAGTCCTTTGCTAGAAGTGGGCCTGGGCTGGGGTGTCAGTAGTACAGAACCAGACTCACCTACTGTCTGTATTCTTCCAAGGGAGGAGGCTGGGGCTTAGGTTAAAAGAGAAAAGCTCTTCTGAGGTCAGGGTACTCACATTGTGTTAAGTCAAGGAGATGATGAAAACCAAGTATACATGGCCAGTAGTGTAGTCTCTGCCATCTTGAAATTCCCTCTAATGTTTTCATTATTGTCTACCTGTAAGTTTTCTACTTTTAGAGTCAACCTGTAGGGGGGAAAAAATCACATGGTTATAAACCACCTCCTCACATCATTATTTAAACTTAAGCCCTATGCGCTCTCTTGCAAATTTTATACCTACTGTCTGGAACAATGAGAGAAGTCGGGTGGTAGGAAGGTGGAGGAAAGGTCGAGAAGATAGGCAAGGTGGAGCTGTGACACCCTGATATTTCAAAGAGAACAATCAAGAGATATTATCTATGGTTGATGAGAGGAAAACTAGAAGGTTGAATGTATCATGGAAAGTTATAAAGATAACCACTGAAGGAACTAAAACTATTCTACAACTCTATTTGGAGAAGAGAAGAGGAGGGATTGGGGTGAAGTGAGTTAAACTAAGAAATAGTAACTGTGGTTACCCTGGGGAAGAAGGACAGAGTGGGACAAGAATAGCTGCTTTTCACTATAGTCCTTTGTGCAATATTTGATTTTTAAAAATCATGTGGAC